GTTAACTGGAGCTTGGAACTTATGAAGGATTATGAGGAATGCTTGGAAGCTATTTTGGTCGATAAAAATTCGATCGAATTGATCTTACCAAGATAGATTGCTACATTCTAAAGCCTAAAGGATGTGGCTGGCAGCTTTGACCCTCTGTCAGTATTTTGATAATATATCATGGATCATAACTCTGATTCACGAGATTTAAAATGTTCCGGAAAATAGACAAAATTTTGGACGACTTTTGTGTTTGTGAAAAATCAGAAAATGAAAACATGCGATCAAATTGTGCCTTGAAATTCAATCGAAAAAACACTTCGCAGTTCAGTAAGTCACAAACATCAAAAAAATAAATGCAAAACTCGATCAAAACCAGAAAATTTTGATCTTGTGCAGCAAAATTCGATCGCATTTTTGGGTTTTTTGCTCCTGAAGATTGTTGCTCGTAAATATAGTATGTCTCTCCGATCAGACGATTGCAGACTCCGAAAACCCTTCTGAAGGCGATTTCTGATACTTTTAATCACTTTCTGAAGATCCAAAGGTTGTGGATCTTGTTTTACATTTAGTTAGCAAGATTGGTTAGTTAGTTTATTTTTTTATTTAGTTTTAAATTGGTTTTTGGCCATGTCTGGCTAAACCCTAGTTTTCAGATCTACAATAGACTAGTACTTTTCATGTGATCAGTTATCAGATTTGGTTTTCAATGTGTTAGTCTGATATTTAATGAATGTTTGATATTTAATTCTTGTTAGTCTGCTCACCGAGCTTGTGAGAAGTATTGGGTATTGCTGGGAATTTTACACAGATGTTAATGCAACTTTTTTTGATATTAATTAAGAGCTTGTTTAATTAGACAATAAAAAGTGATGGTTAACTGAAGAGCTTGTTTTGGTTAATTTTAACTAGGTAAAAAAGGTGACACTAGGGCTTGTTAGTTTTTCTTAGTACAAAATTAGATAGAATGCATTTTGAATAACCAGATTTGGGATGATTGCATGATTAGTAAAGTCGCAACATAACTAAATTTGCTTTTATTACTGATTTCATTTTATTAATTTCACTGCAATTTTAGTTTTTAGCTAATAATGAAAACCCCCTTTTATTATTTTTTGTTTTAATGAATAGTATGTATATTACGCAAAAAAGCATTGACCATTAGACTGTGTCCATGAGAATTCGACCTTGCTTCCCTATGCTATCATTTACTACATTCGGGCAATGAAAATAATATTTGCTTAAATCGTGTGCGACCATGGTTTAACAATAAGTTTTGTAAATATTTTTGGTGGGTTTTTTGTTAATTTTCAATATATATACCTAGTATATTGGGGTATGTTGTTGTATACCCAATATTTTTATTAATAATTAGTTTGATATTTTTTTGATTTTTGTTAAGATTACCTATGTTAAATATTAGTTTGGCAAATTCTTCCTAGTATTATTCTTTCTTTTCCTTCCTATGATTTGATCGTATTTATTTATAACATAGATGCATGGGAAGAACAATATAAATCGAATGTGATGAATAATTTGAATTACCAAAAAATACTTATAGCAAGACTGATATTTTACAACTTGTAATATCAAATTATAATATTATGTTTGACGTTTTTAAAACTGGTTCGAACCGGGAACCGATTATAACATGTGGTTCAATAATAACCAATTTTATGCTAATTTTTTTATTGGATTGAAACAAACGATACATTAAAAAACCGTTTGAACCGGTTTCTTGGACTTGAATAGTTGGATTTCACATAGGCGATTAAAAATACAGTTCATTTTCCAAGAAAATTGAATAACTCGATCAATCAAGTGTACATAACTTGATGGCTGACACATACCACTGCTAGATGTAGACCAACGATTGAACCGAGAATCGGTAATCAAACCGGTTAAACTTAAAATAAGTTTTTAATACATAGATTATGACTATTGTTTTCTCTGTCATGGGTTTTTTCATGTAACAAATTTCAATATAGAATTCAAAACATAAATTAAGGTACATATTAAATAAAAAAGATGTTATTAAAGATGACATTTGTCCACCGGTTTTTTTACCAACGCACTACTTGTCATGAGTTTTTTCATGTAACAAATTGCAATATAAGATTTAATCACTTAAAATTAAACTTTATCACCTTATGTCTTTACGTCTCACTAAATACAAGGCACAAAGTAAACGTACATATAACATTAAAAACATGTTATAAAAGATAGCATTTGGCAATCATTTTCGACCGTGGCTCAACTTGTCAAGGGTGTTTTCATGTTACAAATTTCAATAGAAGATTTAATCACTTAAAATGTACATATAAAATTTAAAAAAAAAAAAAAAAAAAAAAACTTGTTATAAAAGACGACATTTGGCCAACGTTTTAGGCCGTCACACTACTTGTCACTTTTTTTTTATGCAAAACTGATGTTAATGTGTGAAGTCCGATTCGCAATGGCGACTCATTCTTCAGTAAATTATCATGGAAACAATCATGTGAATTAGTTTATGACCGTCATTGACGAAAAACAAGAAAACCGACACCACCTAGCTTTAAAAAACCTACGCCCAAGCAAGTTTTGTACTAGTGGATGCATAGAAAACCTATTGATCCAAACCTAAAACTCAACATCAGACCAACATCGATCTGCAAAGCTTTTCAATTGACTTTGTGCAGTATGCAGTCTTTCCATCACCTACTAAATCATCTCAGTGGTCTTAAGCACAACATCAATACCTCTTATCACTCTCTGTCCAACCTCTCCCTAACAAATTAGGGTCCTACACTTCTTCCCTTAAAGCATCCCGAAGGGATGTATACCTATATTACAACAAAAACCAGTGACGACTTTTACGGTCAATAATTGGATAAAACAGTGACATCTTTTTATTGTCACTGATTGGCTAAATCGGTGATGACATTTTATGGTCACTAGTTGGATAAAACAGTGATGACCTTTTACCGCCACTAATCGGATAAGACAGTGAAAACTTTTTATGGTCACTAATTACACAAACTCGTGAGGACTTTCATTGATTAGTGACTACTTTTTGTAACATTATGACCACAAAACTTTAGGCACTATTTAGTGACCACTTATATACGTTGGTCTCTAATTAGTTTAGTGACGGACCAATAGTGATGACTAAATTTTTGGTCACTAAACCATTTAGTGACTACTCATTTTATTGTTGGTGACCATTTTATATTCCTCAGTAACTAACATTTTTTTTTGTAGTGGCTTTTATGTAGTAAGGTTTTAGTTGTAAGTAGAATCGTTTGAATAAAAGTGAAGGTTTAATGCTTTAAAAATGTTATCCACAAAGACTAAAATTTTGTTAGGAGTTCTAGCAATGTAAAACCACTACCATTACAATCAACTCCAAAAAAAATACAATAAAAGTAAAAAAAATAATAATAATAAAAAATTAAAAATAAACTAAAAAGAAAAACTAAAAAAAAATCCACAAGAAAATCAAGAGAAAGGGTGTATGAACTAATTAAGGAGATGAAGGAAGCTGGTAAATTTTAAAGGTTCTTTTGTTTTTGGTTGAGTTCCTTTGATCAGATTTCATCCACAGATCGACCAAGGATGATTAAACTTGGTTTTGATATGATTTCATTCAAATTGTTTACTTACAAACATTATTCTTGAAAAGAGGTATGGTTTAGATGTAGTTAAATGTTCCATGAAGCAAACCGAAGCTTTGAAATATGAAAATGGCAGTAGACCCGTTTTCAGTAACCAGGTCGACTAAGAAAGGAACCAAATTGCTTTGAAAAGGCGGTGAGATGCTGGTAATGAATGCCTCTGGTACATCCTTGATCTTTGGTTCTAGTCGTATCCCATGTTTTGCTTCTTTTATTAATTTTATTTTTAAATAAAAATTTCAAACCAGCACATCCACTTCGGATTATCTGTTCTGTGTCAACTTGATTTTTTTCCCAAACGGCCGAATATTATTAAAAATAGAAAAACCAGCGGGTTAGCTGTGCTAAATATAAAGTTGGACTAATCAACTTGATGTATTGATGTAAGAGCATAACAACTACTTTTTAAAATGTAAGAGTATAACAACTACTTTTCTACTTTTTAAAATGTAAAAGCATAACAACTATTTTAACAACACCCGTGTTTGGTTGGTGAAATTGGGTGGGGATTAGATTCCTCGTAAGGGAAATAATAATTTATTCATTTGGATACAAAAAGTAGTTGTTATGCTCTTACATTTTAAAAAGTAGTTGTTATGCTCTTACATCAAGTTGATTAGTCCAACTTTGTATGGTGTTGTTAAAAACACCCAAAAATTGGGTCAAAACCACTTATTAACTAAAGTCAAAACCACCATATATAAAACCCAAATTGATATGATGTATTGAGCCAAAGAAATGACGTTTCAGTTTCCTAAAAAATTAATCCCACACGACATACTTAATATCTTTTATTTTATAATATATAATCAAAGATTAAATAATTTTAACACTTTTACCCCCTTATAATTGAAAGAGTAAATTATACGAATCGTCCCTCGTGTAGGTATCAAAAGGCGCGTTCGGTCCCTATTTTTAAAAATTAACTCGGATCGTCCCTGATATGTTTAAAATGTGCATGTTTTGTCCCTGACAGTCATAAAATGACTATATTTCCCTTTCCTATTTCTTCTTCATTTATTTTTTATTTGTTTAATGTTTTATTTATTTATTTATTGATTTTTTATTATCTGAAATCATAAACCCTAAGAATGCCTAAAAGCCTGTGATCCCCATCAAAGATTTCCCTCATACGCGACCGAATCCATCTACAGTTACTCTGTTTCTTCCTCCTCGTGAAATCCGGTCACCGACTATTCTGGTTCTTCCTTATTCGACAACTTCGGTCATGGTTGCTTTGTTTCCCCTTCATCCTGATCTAATCCATTGGGATTGAGTGGCGCAGATGTCAAGATTGGGATTGAGGGAAACATATTGTAGAGGGGTGGAGTTTACATGTTCGTAGTCATCTAAGGATTCATGGAGCTTCCGATATATAAGCCTTCTTCCATCACTACCACGATTACATCACTATTTGTCCAAGACATCCCCATATCTAACCCTACTTTGGTTATGCTTGGAACAGAGTTCAGAAGACTAATGGTGATCGGAAAGTATATGACAATTCCAGCCGGAGATGATAATTTCAGTGCTCAAAATCAAAAAACTGGTGGTTTTCAGAAAACTGTTGGGGAATTTTGGAAGAGGGAAGTGAGATCAATAAAGAGAAAAAGAAGAACATCATCTCAATGAAGATTTTGATGGTGTTGTTGTTTGAACAGGACATTATACAGATCCCTAAATTGCATAGATTCCAGGTATTCATTCCTCTTCTCTTGATTCAGTACCCTTTTGGTTAATTCATGATCATTAAACTGAAACTATGTACCCCCAAATTCTCAATAAAATTAAAATCAGAAGAATCTTAAACGAGATTTGGTTCTTACTAGGTACCGATCGGTAGCCAAGGAAACAGATTCATATACGCATACCGTACACCGGAGCCCTTGTGAGAACATGTATCATTGTTCTTGTATGTCTTAGGGTTTTCAAACATGGAATTTGAGAAAAATTACTAGATGAGTAATAAGTTGACAGGTTGTGGTGATAATTAGGAGCTCTGAAACTGCTGTCAAAATTTATAGAGAGATTGCAATTATTGCTAAGAATTCTCTGTTGTATCTTGGTCAACCTCTAATGACGGAGGTGATGCAGCTGGATGGTGGAGAAGATGAAGTGACGAAGGGTGTGGGTGGTATAGTAGATGTTAAGGGTTTGTGGTAGAGGCCCCATTTTATTTTATTTTTTAATTGTTAATAATATAAACAAACAAAAAAAATCAAAAAGGAAATTGATAAGGGTAAATTTGTCTTTTTAGGTCAGGTTAATGAAACTAGGGACGAAACGTGCACCTCTTAAATATATCAGGGACTATCTGAGTTAATTTTTGAAAATAAGGATTGAACGTGCCTTTTGACACCTACACGAGGGACGATTCGTGTAATTTACTCTAATTAAAACATATTTTCAGTTTATACCTTTCTCTATTTTAAGAAAATTATTTTCAATCCTTAATAATATATTATAAATATATTGATATTCACACACATATAAACACGAATGGTCCAATATGGTTTGGTGTAATTTACGAGTTTGGTCACTAACTTTTTTTTTTAACTCAGACAGTCTTTATTACATCTTTTTGTTGAGCAGTTAGTCCGATCTAAAAAGATTGTTATGCCCTTATTAACTATTTTAATTAATTTTTTATTTACAAATTATTTATAAAATTAAAAGATAACAACACTCCTCACCCCTTCCATTTATCTTCATCACTGTGCAATTGACCCCATCCTTCCATTTCGTATTAGACAAAACTAATAACTATATTTACATTTATGGTCCTTTAAGTTACTCTATATTTACAATAAATATCATATCTTTATTTCAGTGTGGTGTAAATGAATACCACTACGATCAAATCAAAATAAAGTACCAAGTGGACGTCCGCGGTTGAGTACTCAAAGAAGACCTATTGTTCCGCCTAATCAAGATCCAACAACTCAATATCCTCGTAGACATAGTTTTGCGACGTCTATGTCAGATTATAAAGGGTCTAATCAGTTTGATTTAAACCAGGAACCAGAGAGGCACAATACATTATCATTTCAACAACCTTCAACATTTTATTCAAATTTACTTATGAGTGAAATTCCAAATGAATTTCATCCGTACGTTACTAACATTGAAGATGTGGAGGGAGACAGAAATTGTGGATTTCGGGAAATAGCTCTCTCCCTCGGGTATAGTCGAAATTCTTGGCATCAAATCTGCTCAGAATTACGCAACGAGTTATAAGAAAATTGGGGACGATATACAATGATTTTTCAGGATGATATAAATTATTGGCACCAAATTCGCTCCGAATTACGCAATGAGTTATAGTCAAAATTATTGGCATCAAAACATGTAGGTGTATACGAGACTGTTTATGTGAATTATCTCACTATACTATGTATTACTATATATATATATATATATATATATATATATATATATATATATATATATATATATATATATATATATATATATATATATATATCCATGTATGTTAAGGATAGAGAGCTAGTAGAGTAAAAGTATATTCTTTATATGCTTTAAGTTATTAAACTCGAGTTATTGAGTAGCACCGAAAATATATTTTCTATGTGCTTATTATTATTATACTTGAACCAGTAGAATAGTGTCGAAAGTGTACTCTCTATGTATTTAAATTTTATTATATTTAATTTATTACGGTTAAATTAGGGGTATATGGTTTTTTGGGAAAACTCACTAAGCCTCGACTTATAGTTGTTGAATAACTATTTTTCAGGATGTTCTTTTGATCGTGGAAAGGCTCCAGCATGATTGTACTCGCATCAAAAAAATTAATAATGTTTTTAGACTTCCGCTAAAACTCTCTTTTATGTTTAATAAATGTATGACAATGATATTTCAATAAAAATGAGCTTTTGGACATATTTTCTGTATGTTTAAAAAAATTGTGTTGAAAATTAGGACGTAACATTATGCCGGGTACTGAATTCCTCAATGCTAATAAGTATGGTGTAATCGTCTGCTTTTTAGACAAACAAGGTTCGTCGACATGTTTTCTGTTTTGGCATGGCCCGCAAGACATCTTACATCTAAGATCTATTGTTATCACCTTCGTTTATAATTGCTATTACGTAAAAGTTGATTTACAAGAATCACATCCAATGCCTATAGTTTTGTCACTTTGACACTAACACATATCAGAACGTGCCGCTGGATGAGAAATATTGTATAATGCTCGATTTAATTCATATATTTCACCGACTGCACCATATAATAATTGTAATATTTATGTAGTTGATGTCCCTGATAATTAATAAAATTAAAATATATCAGTGTTTGACAAAACAGTGGTAAATGAAAATGAAAATTTTATTTATTATAGTTGTGAAAAAATATCATATTCTGTTTTTTATTGTTCGTTTAATTGTTTGTGATCATTATTTATCGTTAAAGGTTAAATGAACAAATATGAACAAATCCATATTCATGTTTGTTAGGTTCATCTCACAGCCCGATTGATATCGTTAATATTAAAACATCAAAAAAAATTAAAATATTATATGAAAATCCCTATAATAAAATTGAGATATTATACAAAATAAAATTAATTTTGTAATTATACAAAATAAATTCTATAGGTATACAAAATAAATTTAATTATGTAATTATACAAAATAAATTCTACAGGTATATAAAATAAAATTGGAATATTATGTTAATTCTTAATATAAAATATTTAATAGTTGAAGGTAAAAAATTATAAATCTAATATATATTAGAGGGTTATATATGAAAGTTTTAATAAATTGGTATAACAATACCAATAATTTATTTAGAGATCGTTACTTTACTGTGCACAATATAATATGTCGATTTAATAAATAATCATCATTTAAAATCCCATCAAATTGGGTTAATTAAAGTCAAAGAGGTTTTTGACCTTTACAATGGTTTTTGTTCGGGTGTATATAGAATCCCCACCAAACACAGAGTTCGCATATCAATCAACATCTCGAGGGTTTATACATATGATCTCTAGTGTCTTTTCATTTCCTAAAGCTAGATTTCCAGCAGCAAATATTTGGTTTTATAGGACCTGTTAACATATAAGTTCAGTTCAATGGAGTCTTATTCAACATCGTCCATTCAGAAAAGCTATAAGTATGATGTGTTCTTGAGCTTTGCAGGCCAAGACGTCCGTAAGAACTTTCTTGATCATCTTTATGTTGCTCTTCAGTGGCAAGAAATTGTGACTTTCAAGGATGATGAGAATCTCGATAAAGGAAAAAGGATCAAAGATGATCTCTTCAAGTCCATTGAAGAGTCAAAATTCCACATCATTATTTTGTCAAAAGCCTATGCAGCTTCCACCTGGTGTTTGGATGAGCTTGTCAAGATTATGGAGTGTCAGAACGCCGACAATACCAAGCAGATTGCTTACCCTGTGTTTTATGACGTGGATCCCACGGACGTCCGCCATCAACGTAAGCTGGTTGAAACAGCTTTTGCCGAAAATAAGAACAAGCCAGATGCTGGAAAGTGGATAAAGGCTATGGAAGGAGTAGCTGGTTTAGCTGGATGGGATTTGAGGAATACCGATGATGGGTATAACTCTTTCTTGGTGTTTTAATTATAAAATTCTTGTATTGTAGATTTTTATCCCAAACTGAATTATGTAATTACTTGGTATATATACGTTATAGTTCTTGAATTTTTGTTCATACGGGAAGCTAATTGACTCTCCCCTTATTCTACAGGCATGAAGCCAAAGTCATCAAAAGAATTGTTGAGAAGATTTCACTCGAGTTACGTTCCACTAACTTAAAAGCCGATGAATACTTAGTAGGCATGGAGAGCCGGATAAGAGATATAGTTTCCTCTTTGGAAATGGATGTTGAAGATGTTCGTATGATAGGTATCAAGGGGATTGGAGGCGGTGGGAAGACGACTTTGGCCACAGCTGTTTTTGACAAAATATGCTTTCCGTTTGAAGTTAAAAGCATCGTTGGGAACATTAGGGAAGTTTCAAAATCATCGATGTTTGGGTTGCAATCGTTGCAAAAACAAGTGCTTTCCATTGTGATAAAGGATAGAAATTTCACCATATCGACTGTTCGTGATGGGAAAAGCTTAATGAAAAAGAATTTGTCGGGTAAGAAGGTTCTACTTGTTCTAGACGATGTGGATCACTTAGATCAGTTGGAGGCATTAGTTGGTGCGCTTAATTGGTTCAAGGGAGGAAGTAGAATAATTATTACAACTAGAGATGAGCAATTACTCATTGCCCACGGAGTGAAAGCGATTCATGATGTCACTCTTTTATCACAGTTTGATGCAACTCGCGTCTTTAATAGGTATGCATTTGGTAAAGATATTCCAATTAAAATGTGCAAAGAGCTATCACTCCAAGCTGTCCGTTATGCTGCGGGTCTTCCCTTAACCATCAAAGTTTTGGGTTCATTTCTCTGCGGTAAAGATGAGCTTGAATGGAAAGATGCACTGGAAAGATTGAAAAAAATTCCATTGAAAGAAACCCTTGAAAAATTGGAACTAAGCTATACCAGCCTCGATCATGATTACCAGGATATATTCCTAGATGTTGCATGCTTACTAAAAGGTTGGCGGAAAGACGATGCTATTAGAGCACTTGAATGTTGTGGATACCATGCTAGGATTGGCTTGAGAGTTCTTGAACAAAGATCTCTCCTAACTATTTCACGTAATCAGGAGTTAGGCATGCATGACCATATACAAGAACTAGGCCGGAATATTGTTCGTCGGTTGCACCCTGCTGAGCCCATCAGACATACCCGGTTGTGGATTCGAGGGGAGATTGAAGATCTATTGACCGATGACTTGGTAAGGATTAAGTAATTAATTATATATATATATATATATATATATATATATATATATATATATATATATATATATATATATATATATAGATTCAGTAAGAATTTTTTTTTGTAGAAAGGTAAGATGTTTTTTTTTTCTACATATTTTTTTGACGAACAAAATAAATAAATCACTAGATGATTCATTTGTAAGATTATTCACAAGAAAAAATTCCCAAAAAACATATTTATGATTCATTTTTAAGTAAATTAAGAAAAAATTCACTTTTATGACAATTTTACTGAATAACAACAAAATCATTGTATAAATGAATCATCGAGATGTTTTTTTGAGAACTTTTTCTTGTGAATCATCTTACAAATGAATCATCTAATGATTAATTTTGTTTGTTCGTGAAAAAAATATGTAGAAAAAAAACTTCTTACCTTCCTACCAAAAATTTCCTTCTTATTTGATCTTGACTCTCTCTCTCTCTCTCTCTCTCTATATATATATATATATATATATATATATATATATATATATATATATACATACATATAACAAAAAGTGAATACACCCTTAAGGGTATATAAACTTAGTTACCCAAACACACCATAATACGTCATTTTCTTTGATATATTTATTATAATGCTCTTAAACTTCAACCTTAACTTGATTTACTTTCAAGATATTTGAAATTTCACTATTATCTTTCTCTTAAATCACATCTTTTTGCCGAACATCTACTGGACTATATATATTGTAGTTAAAAATGAAAATTATATAAGAGGAAGATAAATGTGTAATTTACAAAAATCTTAGAAGTACATCAAGTTAGAAGTTAAATTATAAAAACATTGGACAATTAGAATGTATTATATGATTGAAAACGACTTATTATGGTGAGTTTGGGTACCTAAGCTTATATACCATTAAAGGTATATTCACTTTTCACACATGGCGGGAGTCTCATGATGACTGTTATTGGATTACAGGTTACTGAAGCAACAAGAGCTATAACAACTCACACATATCCATTGCTATGCGAGCAGGGCATCTGTCGTTGTAGAATTTTTACAAAAGGTTTTGGAAACATGAAGAAACTTAGATTTCTTCAGGTGACTTCTTCGACCAGTGATTTGTTGGAGGGGATTGAAGTTGGAAAACACTTGCCAAATGCGTTACGATTTCTGAACTGGCGAGGTTACCCTCATTCTTTTTTACCTAAAACATTTCAGGCAAATAATCTTGTTGCACTTGAAATGCCTTATGGAAGAATTAAACGACTATGGGAAGAGGGGGAAAGAAAGGTAGAATGTTTTAATGCTATATTGCATGATATCATTATACTGTTATTGTATACGTATTACTGCATTAATTAATATTCATCTCTTTCTCTTTCTTGCTTATGATAGGCGCTTAATAACCTCAGATATCTTGACATGAGCCATTCAGATTTGACGACCCTTGATTGTGGTTTACTTCCAAATCTCGAGAAGTTAAATCTTAAAAAATGCTCCGATTTGGTGAAACTTAATGCCCCCCATGGATCTCTAAGAAGGCTTGCACGGTTAGACTTACGTCGGTGCCAAAGTCTCGATACTGTTTCGTTTATCAGACAGTTGGAATTGCTTCAGGTTCATGATCTATGTGATTTATATCAAAACATAGCTCTTTTGCTTGATTCATTTTGCTGCTATACATCTGATTCTTAATATATTATTACTGCAATATTAATCTACTTTTTGTTCTTGTTAAATTCTCATAGGTCCTTGAAGACCTCATTTTCCTGGACTTCAGCTATTCAAGTTTGACGACCCTTGATTGTGGCTTAGTTCCGAATCTCGAGAAATTAATTGTTGAAAATTGTTATAATTTGGTAGAACTTCAGGTGCCTATTGGATCTTTGAGAAGGCTTGAATGATTGCAAGAGATTAAAATCAATTTCTTTTATCGAACAGTTGGAGTCACTTCAGTTTCTTAATCTAGGTTGTTTAGATCTCACGCAGTTCTCAGATATAATCCCAAGGAATAATATCCAAGAACTACCCTCTTTCATTGGAAATCTTCAAAACCTTGTTTCTCTAAAGCTCTATGGGTCCAAAAACCTCAGGAAACTTCAATCAGGCATATGTGTTCATTTACGACATCTAAAACACCTTGACCTTGAAGGTAGTGACATAGAAGAATTACCAGAGGATCTTGGCCACTTAGAGAGTTTAGAAACTCTAGAATTAGGTTATATGCCTCTTAAACATCTCCCTAACAGCATTTGTATGTTGACACATCTGAAAACTCTACTTCTTGATGGTTGTAAAGGTATTAAGGAGTTACCTGAGGATCTTGGCCTATTAGAGTCTTTGGAGGAACTAAGTCTAGGACAATGCAAGATAAGAGATGTTCCAAGTAGCATCTGTAAGTTGAAACTTCTCAGAAAGCTTTACCTTCGCTACTGTGATCAACTTAAGGGATTGCCCGAGAAACTAGGAGACTTGGAATGTTTAGAAGATTTAAATCTAGAAGGTACAAGAATAAGTCATCTTCCACGGAGTATTTCATTATTGAAAGGTCTGAAAATTGTTGGATTTAAATAAAGATATGACGAACAACAACCACAAAAAAGGAGTTTGCTATGCCATGGTATTTTGAAATTTAGTGTTGTTTAAACCTAAACGATTTTGTACTTTTACTTTTTTTATTTAAAGACATGTTAAATTGTAACACTGTTGCTTTTGAATTGTTTTCTACTTACGTCACATGGTTACATATTTTAATGGTGAAATAACATAAATGTCCTACCAACTTTTTAGGGTTTATCTGTTGAGTCCTTAAAGTTTTTTTCGGGTTTTATGGATCTCTAAACTAGGATATGACTTGTTCTTTTAGTCCATGTCAACCTGTAATAGCCGGTTCAGTGACCTTTTAGACTAAAAAATTTCAAATTGTGCCCCTATAAAGTCAAAAAAATAAGTTCGGAGATCAACTCGTACAAAAAAACACTAATTTTCTTCTAAAGTCGGTTCACACTCAATTCGTTTTGATCCCCGAACTTATTTTTTTTGGCTTTATAGGGACATTATGTGAGTTTTTTGGTCTAACAGGTCACTGAACCGGCTATCACAGGTTGACAGGGACTGAAAGAGCAGGTCATATCCTAGTTTAGGACTTATAAAACCCTACAAAAAATTCAAGGATTCAATGGGTAAACCCTAGAAAGTTCGTAGGGGATTTGTGTCATTTTCCCTATTTTAATTGTTACTTTTTATCACTTAACAGTTTATATTTTTCCATTGTAAGTATTTTGAGTAATCATGTTTTCATTTTTCACCTTGTGGTGTACTTATTTTTTTCTTCACTTTTCTTGTTTCAGTTTACCCTTGTATATTATGTTAAATTGAGTTTTGAAAACTATTTATTGATTAATGATAATAAAGAACAAAGAAAAATACTCTAATGGATTGCCTTCTTAGTTACACTGTGTTTGGTAGAACACAGGTGCCAAGAGCAACGGGTTCAGATCCAAGGATATCATAAACGAAAGTTTTGTGGAATCAAGACATGTCATCAAGATACGAGTAAATTCAAGGATCAAAGATTAATAGGTCTTGATCCGTTTTGCTAATGTAGATAAAGAGGAGACTGTTGACTCCGGGTAAGTGTGGTTCACAATATCACCCATGTGAGTTGGATTCTGAAGGTCCTTATCTTAGGTTGGAAGTTTGTTCCGAGTAAAACATCTTTGGACCCAGGATACCAAAAGTTGTGAGTCACATGCTCATTGGACTCAACTATGTCAATAGAGTTATGTAATTTATCAATACCAACATTAATTCAAATGTTATTGTTAACCAAAAAATTTCCTTTGCTTACTAAAATTGCACATTTTTCATTTAAAATAATACATTCATCCATAGGTATTACAAGTTTGTTTTCTAAGGAGTATATAATAAGCTTGCATTCATCATGAGGTAGTCTAAGTTTGGTCAACTCACTATTAATCTTCTATCAGTCATCTACGACAGTCTAATAGACTTTTAGGGCTTTTAGGGATTTTGTTAAATCCGATTAAATTTTAATTAGATAAGGTTCACAGACAAAGCTATCAAAATTATATTCAAAACACATAAATTATACCTCTTGGATGATGTTTTGGTTTGGTGGGTTGTTTGAGTCTATATGGCAATAGTTGTGCTAAGCATCATCATCAAACCTAGTAAACAATAACTAGTAAGTAGAGTCACATTCCATGTTGTGTCTATCCATAAGACACAAATTATTCTCTTCACCACTCTCCTCATCAGCAAATGACTAGTACCCATCATTAGAAGAATAAACACATATGCCGACAACATCTATGCTGACGATAGTTGTTATTGGGACAAGGGACCCCATCTTAATGACTAGTCATCGAGACAGGGTCGAGTAACTTAATTTTAATAGGAAAACTATGACAACGACTTGTCTTCGCCATAGATTTGGTAGGAACGTAAAGTAATTTACATGGTTTCTCAAAACCTATCCCGACGACATGTCGTCGGTAAAGTTTGTGTAGATTATCAAGTCCAAAGTCTATGCAATACTTAACCAATAAGCACTTAATTCATAAACTCCAAAGCCTATCCTTTCCATATGTTATTCTAACACCAAAACTAACCTAAAAGTTGGTGCTTTATAGACATGCATGTCTAATGCATGTATTGAACAAATATTAGGTCAAAATGAGGGTTTATGACCTAAATTTCATGCATGGCTTGAAAATCCAACAAAACTCTAGATCCAAGGTACAATTTATACAAAATGTCCCAGAGATTGATATAGTTACAAACTTGATGAGATCTCATCACCCCAACAAGCTAGAACACGAAGTTTATGGGACAAAACTCAAGATATAGCAACCTAACTTGATAAAAATCGAGTCTCAGACACTTATTAAGGTCTAGAAGAGTGCTAGGCTACAGAATGGAGACTTGCTTGCTTGATTTTTTCTTCATTTTTCCTTCTTAACTTCAAGGAACACCAAAACTAGCTCAATAATGGATGAAAATAATTATTGAGCCGATGGAGGCTGAGGATGAGCAAACCCTAGCCTCCCCATTCCTTGAAATATGGAGCAAACCCGGAAAAATAGGATTTGCATGCCACCCCTCACCATGTCGTGGCCAATACTATAATGTCGTGGTGACTCGAAAACACACGACCTATTTTCGCCTCGCCACGTCATGGTGATGCTTGCACTATGCCATGGTGATCTCAAAATGATATTTTTAATTGGAAATGAAGTACCTAAAGATCTGGGTGTATATATATATATATACACACATTGTAACGTCCCAAAATTTCTGAGTAAAAATTTCATTTTTGTATATGTGAAAACCCGTCATTCATTAGCCCAAACGAAAATCATAATAAAAGTATTCTCAAAATATTATAGTTAAATAAAAGATAGTCAATGAAATATAAATCTCCAGAGGATGGAGGGTGATCAAGTCGGGACATTCCCATTGAAACTAGAAGTACATGAAACATTTTAAACGTAAACCGTAAGCTCAAAGCTTAGTGAGTTCCCTAAAATACCCCATATCGTACATACGTAACATTCAAAACATAATTGGATGTATTTTACCCCCATTCAGTCTCTTTCAACCGGTAATGGGACTATTTCACCCCCTCTAGTCTCTTTCATCCGATATCGGGTCAATTTCACCCCCTACAACTATGCATACAATCATATCAACAAGTGTCACAAATACAACAAGCACATACAGGCGTAACAGTAAGTGTCAAAAAGACAACTAAAATCCTACAAACATGATTTATTGGGCCGAAATTGGTGACTGTGACCCACGAACATTGTGAAAGAACTTACCTTACAGACGAAACCACCACTAAGAGCATCAATACTTGAAGAATGGTGTTAACACCTCCTATTAATCCATACTAAATTAATCCTTAGTCTACCTTCTAAAACTAACAATGGCCAAGAGTCAACCAAGTCGAAAGTCAACCTTCAAGGTCATCAGTAAGTCCATAATCAGTTCATCTCCATGTTACGGCCAGCCCATGTCCACATTGTGGCTATCTGACAAAGTCACGGTCCAAACATTTACCACACAGCGGTGCTCAATTTTCCACTATGTGGCATGCACTAAACAGACAGATAGTGGATAACATAATCATCACGTTGTGGCACCATCCAGCCATGTCGTGGCCGCTGCCTTTGGGATAGCTTAAGCAATAAATCCTTAATCATTTTACCCACTCATAAAAACCCTTAGAAGCCATTCATGCACCTTAAACATCCAAAAATCATTCCTTTTTACATATGCATGACCTATGCAAGTCTTGGGCTTAATTTAGGTCAAGAAGATAAAAAAGAGGTCAAAACCTCAAGCATGGAAACATGACCTTACCAATTCATGGATCTAGAATATATGATGACCAAGGTACCAAAGTGAGCTAAAAAGTTGAAATTTTATCTCTTTCAACCATCCTAAACTTAACAATAGACCAAAACATACCAAATAACGAAGATCTATAAGGTAAACATCATCAAGATGAAAATTTAAGAACTCGCAAATGACACAAAAGACGCACAGAAGAAATATAGATGAGTAGCTTGCTTGATCTGTGCACAAAAGCTCCTTCTTCTTCCTTCCAAGGCAATAAAAACACACCAAATGTGACAAGAGCTTCAAAGAGGGATAGGGTTTAGTTTTCTTGGTGTTGGAGGTTGTTAAGAGATGAAACCCTAGCTGGTACTTCCTTTAAATAGAGTGTAAGAACACGAAATTTAGGGTTTAGACCACCAGACGGCTGCCATTCCATGGTCAAAAGAATGACACGTCGTGGTGACTTAAATGAAGTTTGCGACCAATTTACCCTCGTCTCGTCGTTGTGGTTCCTCCACCACGTCGTGGAAACCCCTAAAACTCATAATTTAGCAAATAAAATATATCTCAAGAGTCTTAGTGTTACAACTCTCCCTTACTTGAATTAGATTTCGTCCTAGAAATCATTCCTCATAACTTACTCAACCATACTATCCGGCCTCGTTTGAACTTCTTGAATCCCAATTAGAACTAAGAAATTATTACACACAATGACTGACTTCCAATACCACTACCAGATAGATGGTAACAATTAGATAGAAAGTCCAATTGCCCTGCTCAAACAATAAAAGCCCCGAACCATGTCTAACTTCTAGACAGACAATACCATTTCAAACCATCTCAATAATGTAACACCCCGTTCCTGGTAGGCATTTAAAACATTATATTCTTCATCTTTTAGAAGTGTGACAACCCAAAATTCCCATTATGAACAAACAATATCACTTCAATAGAAGTTATAACAGTCACAGTAAATTTTCAGACTTTTCAGATAAGTTTGAGTAATTCAAGGTTTACACTTCAGGAGATATCAGGAGAGTGGATGCACTAGGGTTTCGTGCAACACTATTATTCCAATACTCTGTTATATTAGAAATCATTTCGGGAATAAAAATATTTTCTGCCAAAAATATCTCAGGACTATAAATAGAATTCTGAACCAATTTCATTCGTTATTCGCATTTTCAACTAGAGAAAAGCCATTTTCTCTCTCACGGATCTTTGGGTTTTTATCCCAAAACGTGAGTATCTCTTGCTAGTAGTGTTAGATAGCTTATTATGTGTTTATAACATGATTTAGATAACTAAATAACTAGATTTAGGAGTTTACTCCCCAAGGTGTTCTTGGGCGGTAAACTCCCGAAACAAAGCCTAGCCTTTCCCCCGTGATATGCTACTACCTTGGACTCGTATATGGTGTATTTGGGACATGAAAAAAAAAGAATCACCAAGTTTTGGGTGTTCACATCCCAAGAAGATCTTGGACCGTGAACTCCAAAATCATGGACCAAAGTGTGTTTTTAAGACACCTAAAGCCTTGGACATTTACGTGGAGTTGTTCCTACTTAAATCAAGGACCAAAACACATAAAAAACACATCATTTTGGATAATTATGGCCCTAACAAGACTCTTGGGCCGTAAACATGAAAGAAAGGCACCAAAGTGTGCCTAAGGCCTTCATATGCTTGGGATAAAAGTCTAAGACCTATACTACATGTGCAAGAGACATGAAAGCATCAAAAACACCATTCCAAGGGAGTTTACGACAGTAAACTCCAAAGGAAATGGTCTTAGGGTCGTAAACTCCTCAAAGGAGTCTTTCTATGCCCTAAACCTTCCAAGAATTAAACCACCAAGTTGGAATACTTCTAGGGATCATTTAGAATCTCAAAACACAAAATAACACCAAGTTTAGGAGTTCACGGCCATAAACTCAAAAGTTTACGACCGTAAACTCAATGTGTGGGATTATATGGAGAGTAAACTCAAGTATGAGGTCCTTTGGAACCCTAAACCCATTTTCCTTGTCCCACAACAACTTAGATGCAATCCTTAGGGCTTATAACACTTATATAAAGTGTTTATCATGTTCTAGGATGTCTTAACATTTACAATTAGTAATTTAATACTAATTTGGTGCATATATGTATGATTATATGTTCATTAGGATCATAGTGTGTGTACAAGTCCTCACTTGACACCTAACAATCTGACACCGTTCAGTGCGTCAAA